AGACCACGAAGTGGTCTGGTGAAACCATATTGTTTTCTCTGATGTTTCTTCTCCTCCTTCTCCTTCTCCTGCCATTTTTTAAAATGGATTCAGCTTCTTCATTTTGGGGCCTAAGGATCTGAAATTTGGTATGGAGGTACAGTGGGCAAATACCCTTAGGCGTTTTTTAAATTTTTGTGATACAGGCTTTTAGAATGGTTTTATTTGAGTTTTTTGGCTGTATTATAGCAAATGTATTACTGTGTCAGTGGGCAGTGTTAACCACATTTGGCATGAGTCATCACAATGGAATGCAGGGCATCAACCAATAGGCATGCAGCTTTCCTCTCTTCTTCTTGCTGATTGGCTGTTGGGATTTAACTTGATTAACACCTGCACAGACCATTTCCACCTGCACAGAGCATTTCTTGCTGATTGGCTGTTGGGATTTAACTTGATTAACACCTGCACAGACCATTTCCATACTGACAGTATGTCTGTATTCAAGTGTTTTGGTAGGTATTTCAAGCTTTCCTGCTCCAGCATTGGAATGCGGGGCATGAACGTTTTTTTTTTTAAATCAACAGTTTGCATTATGCAATTAAAAATCCTAACCAATAATGTAGGGAATAGCTAGCCAACTGTTGTAGTCTTAGTTGTATGTTACTTCATATTATAGTTATATCAATGTAAATCATTGTTTTCCCTTGTGTTTCTCATTCTTTCCCTGCCATGTCGTAAAATGTGGTGAAGCCATCGCTGTATTTGCTCCAAAGCAAATATTGGCCTTTCTAGTGTTATAAATAATGTTTGGTAGGAAGTGCAGTCACACAAATTATGGTGTCTCAATAATTACGTTGATTTTGCAAGAGCAAAAATGCTCAAGAACAGCCAGCATTATTAGAACCTAGGTCTTTAAGGTAGAGGTACAAATGCAGGCAGCAACAGCCTTCTCAATAGTTATGTAGTTCTCTCCTTGGTGCTGAATGAACAGTCACATGCACTGTGCTGTACCTTTGCCATATTCAGTAGATCAAAAAAGTTACCTCATTTCACTCCATGTGAAATCAGCAGATGATTATTGTTGTAAAGTGCACAGGAATCTTTTTTTCATGAATGTGGCATTTATTTGACACAGACAGCACTAGGCTGTCACTCGGTCTTAAGTTAACGTAATGGACTCCTTGTAGCTATATTTTTCAAATGTTGCTATGTTTATTAAGCAGTGTGATGTAGAATGAATAATAAAGTAGTGTACAGATTGTTCACCATCAAAATTGCCTCTCATAACATAATTAAGCACCAGTGTAAAGATTTTAATGTTTTTGAGCCTTCCATTTTATAACAATTTTCCAAAATCCTTTACTATCCCACCAAATAGTGTATTTTGGGCCCCAACTTGAGTTACTAGTACTTATAATTAGACAGGTAACATGATGGATGGCAGTTTTCAAATATGATGAAGGTTGCCATTTATTCAGAGTAAGAATGCACTGTTCTGCATGAAGAATGTCCTTTACATCAAGGTCGAGTTATACTTTCCAACTTTCCCAAAGCACTGTCAAAGTAGCATTAATATGATAAATGTTCTGGTGCAGCGGCCATACTGAAGCAAAGGCAAAGATCAAAAACAGTGTGTATATCCATGCTTTGCTATGCTTAGGTGGGCACACATTTCTTAACATTCCAGACAGGTTTCCTAAAACCAAAGAGGACAAAGCTACATGTAGTGTTAGGTTGAACTTACAATATAGATGTCTAACAATTCTGTGGTCCTCTGTCTCTTACAGCAATCACTGAAGGTGGTCTCCCTTTGCAACCGCCTGTCACGTAGCATCAAGAACCGAAACAACATGAATGGGGATGAGGCACAAGAAGTAAGTACAGCTTCTTTTATTATCAGATTCTGCCCTCATTCCCTGAGGCAATTTTAGTGTGTAGCAGCTCTTTCCATAAGTCAACTTCAAAGTACTGTTTGTAATCTAAAGTCCTATTCCGTAAATTGACAGCACTCACACTGTAACAACACTGCATTTCTAGACACTCCTCTCAGGCAGTCTGCAAATATCACAGTAACAGCTTTGAAATAAAATGGGCATGAATGGTGATCTCATTTATTTTCACTGGGACTTGATTTCATGGTAAAGGGGAAAAAGAACATTTTAAGATTTACAGTAATTTTACTGTGTGAAATTGATGACTTTCTAACTGTAGAGAATAATTTATTGCTTTTCTTATTTAATGACACATTTCTCAGTGATTATCTTTAATAAGAAGATTATTAGGTTGGTTATCACTTTTTCATAACACATCAACACATTAATTGGGTCATAAGCTTGCTAAAGGAATGCTTATGAATTCTTAAGTCTATTTTCTGCCTCTCAGTTTATGTGATTTTTCTAGTTATATTAGTCTACTTTGCACACCATGTACTTATTTGTAAAATCATGTGAAAATCCCCACTAAGGTCTAAGTGTTTAGTAGAAAATAGCTACGAATAGAGCTGGCTGGAGAAAACAGACAGAGAGGACCAAGGGGCCCGTATCTGGCCTGAGCACATAGGCAGGTAGGCAGGCAGCTACGAATAACAAATGTAGGTACTCATGAGTCATGGCTCCAAAAGTTCTATTTTGCATTGTTTGGCTGGATGGACATCTATATCTTGAATGTAGATGTATCCCCTCCACACAGGAGTCCCCGTGAGCTTACACGTAGCTGCTAGTCTCTTGATAGATCTGTCCCAGGTCGATCTGCACCCATCATAGCTTGATAAGTCACATGATGCACATCCCGTACTTCCACTGGCGACGCTGAGTCTGCTCGCTCCCTGCAAATGTCTCCCCATGAATTGTAATTGATTTGCCGCCTTCTGCATCAACCTCCTGATATCAGGACAAACGGAGCTGCAGTCGATACCTCACCAGTCCACTAGCACTGGAGCTTATAAAAGCTTGACATGATCAGTATCTCTGTTTTGGAATTTGGCAACTTGCTATGAGGTTGACCAGCAAAATAGGGATTCAGATTCTATCAGTGTCCCTTCCAGATAGCAATCTTGTCTTCTACAACATGTATATGAAACAATTCTAGATTTAACTTTCTTCAAAATATTTTTTTTTCATTCCTCTTGGAGCAAACTGACTCCTGGTGGAAAATTGGCAACAGATTATGTTCAGTCCAACATGTTACTGACCTTGAAAATGCACAGTTTGCAGTTTTTGGTGTGCTTCCTATTTCTGTAGTCATGATATTACCAGAGTCATGGGACCAGCAAATGATACATTGTTGATGGATATGCCAGGACATCTGCTGCATACCAACATCAAACGCAGTGCATAGGATTGAGCAGATCCCAGCTCTAGAGCTAGTGCAGCAGGATGGACTTAAATGGCTTGGTGATAAGACAGGAGCATTGAATGGTTACCCCTGCAAAATGTCCTCTTGTGACAATCATTCAAAAACAATTTCCACCTCCAAAATTCCAGTGTGTTGTCACACACACAGTGTGTGTAACAGCAGTCTGTCCCCTCACATTACTTTTCTAGGTGTACCTTAGGTTCTGCCATTGTGATGTTGTCATTGTATAAGATTTTTCCAATCTACTGTACTATATGTGAGCTTTAATATTTAACTCTCGCTAGTGAATTAATGTAATACATAATTCGTAAGTTCCACATGCACCCACTAATTTAAAAATAGAATTTCACAGTGTTTGTTGGATTCACAAATTGAATTTTTTAATGGATTTAACAATGAACCATTCAGAATCATTTTCATCAATTTATCTAGACCCTCAATTAAAGTATACAATGTAACAAATTGGTGAAAACTACTTGTTGTATTAGAAATATATTATTACATGTATCAACAGCCTGCAAGGATCTAAGTAATACGACACACATGTACTTTCCTTCAGTATTACATGGACACTTTCCTCAGAATCCATGTACAGGTCAATATAAATACACATTAACATTGTACAAATGTTCAAGATAAAAAGTGAGCCAAATCAGAAGATTACCGGGTTTATTCCTCTAAGAAAAGTTCTCAAAAGAAAGTACATTCTGTGTTCTTCCTCCTGATGCTCTATTGTGCAAACCCAGCACGTAAGCTATCTCCTGTAAAGCAAGAAGCAGATGTCGTATTCACTATTGAACCTAAATGTATTGATTACCACAATTTTTTCTTTCAACAGACATATTACAACTGTTTCTACAAAGGTGCACCTTTGTCTTGAGGTAACCCTCATTCCAGCTCTCCAATAACGGCATTGATTTCACTACAAAAATCAATATTTCCATTGAACCAGTGGGCATGATAAGTGTCTTAAGCTAAGTCAGTTGCAGGTTCTCAAATTCCAGCTTAAAAAGCATGCATCCTTCACCTGGAGTTGGAGTTATACTAAGAACAAGTTAGAGGACAACTCCTGCCAACAAGGTCAAGGGTACATCCATTGTCTGCGCCATCAAGACATTGAAACCGTCTTGAAGATGTTTGTATTATCCCCAGGTTGCTCCCATTGGTCAGGGATCAATATTTTCGTGGTGAAAAGCGTGACCTGTGTCATCGTGAGAAATGCAGGTCTAAGAGTTTTGCATCTTGTATTCATGGAATTTCTGGGTAATGTTTTTCACACCCACACTCTGACAGCATGTTACAAACCAGCCAATATAACTGTAACTGACATTGTCTCCTGAATACCATTAGAAAAATTCTAGTTTTCTTCAGTAACTTTTCAAATGCTGCATCATGGAAGGAAAATAAAGCTTTGTTTCCAAACCAAGGAATTCTATACCCCAGGTGTTGTATGGTCCAATTTTCCAGATGAGGTCTGGTATTTCCATGTCCTTGAATCCAGAGCCATATTTTCATGTAAAGGCCTGTAGGATAATGAAGATAGGTGGCAAAAAATCGGAAAGGACCGGGCAGACGTTAATGGTGATATTGATTTTTAGCCTGCCTGCTATGGGGGCTGGTAAGTGGCAGTCCATATCAGGAACAGGGAAATCAATCTAAAGCCTGAGAGTTGAACTTTGTTGTGCCAAGACCTTGAGACTCTCTGATAACACCCATGTCACAGAGCACCCTGATAACACCCATGTCACAAAGAACCTCTACATTTCTGCTTCTAATACACTTAATTCAATCCCTCCCTAGGCCCTGGACCCTCATGCATAATCCAACTTAAATCTATAAAGAGTCGTTTTAGACTTTGGCAGTACCATGCTAGGTATAAATTTGCTGTCTTCCCTCGAAGTTTTAAAGTGTAGGTTCATAACCTTTTATATACTTCATGGTCATATTTGAAAAGGGTATTTGATTTGTATATGATAACCTGGTATCCCCTATTATTCATGTCATTGTGAATAAAAATTCCATGTTATGTAATGTGTTTGGTTGCCAACTTATCAGTAAACTATATAATCTCACAAATGAAAAGTATGAAATTCAATCAATATTATAGAAAAAACTTGTCAATGCAGTCACCCTACGAAACTCACAAGACAAGTGAAGAACCATGCAAGCATGAAAAACCTCAGATGTGCCGTAAAGACGTACAGCACTAAGGCAGGCTTGATTTCTGAAATGTTATTGGTGCCCACAAGTTACAATATAATTGTGTCCATACAAAGGCAGTCTTTAAATACAGCTATAGGTTCTTTAGATGTCTCAATCCATTTTATGGTAGATACAATATTAAAGATTAATGGTAGTGATCAAACCTGAGAAGAATATTATCTGCCCACGGGAGGGTGCAGTAGCTCACGGCAGTAAACCCTGATGTGGAATGCACATTAAGTAGGTAGCATGGGAACGACACTGTGAAGTCAGTTCAATGCCTCACAGGATTTACGGGAAGACAGGCTGGCTCCATGAGGTCAGCCAGGGCTGCTGAAGATGATGTGGAAATAAATGAATGTTTTACAGGTTACAGATAGCGCCGTCTCTTGGCTTGACACTGTTTATATACATGAATAACTTCATAAGCGTACGTGTACATGTACATGTACATATAGGGTTTTATTGCTTAATCTTTTCTGTCAAATTCATATTAGTATGCAGCAATGATGATGATAATGTTGCAGTCAAATGGCTCAAACATTGCAATTTGAATCCTGGGTTAAAAGAGGCCCTTAAGAACTGCATTAAGATTTTATGTTGATCATACATGTATTTTATTGCTTAATTAGATAGAGGTGAGCAGCTGCCATGTCAATCATTTCTACCTGTAGATCTTCTAATGAATGTTTAATTGTGTTTCAGGAGGACGAGGAGGAGTCTTTTGTGCTGCGGACACTTTTCCACTGTATTGAGGACAGCAACCTGGGGGGGATCCGCCACCTCCTGCAGTCTCTCACCAGCTTCGACATCAACCAAGCCAACAAGGTCAGCAGGGCAGCCAAACTCTCAATGGTTTATCAGAAATCTCTTTTGTCCCATGGTGGTAATATCCTTTAGAAGGAAAAGACTTGCATTCCATGTACTAATCAAAAAGGAGTTGGGTCAGATTGTTTTAATATTGTCAACTGTCTGCAATGTACAGTTTTCTTCAGTATTATTTTCCTTATAATATGACCTCAATTTTCAATGTAAATATTATTTCTCGAAAAAATAATTTTTCACCTCCAGTTGACACAACTCATAACAGTTTGTAGTTTTTATCAAAAAAACAAGTGATGTAATCGTTAATCAGCTATGAGCATGCAGAATTATGGTGTGTATTGAGGTCTGTCTTAACCTTCTACAATGTACCTGCTGCTTAGTAGACTTGTGTCACCAGAATTGGTAACAGTTGGTTACTGGGCATTGGTTAAGTTACATGTACATGTAGGTAGCAGGGAGAAGGTTAAAATTGTCACTTCCTTCCTATTCAGCTTATTTTGGCTCTAAAAACATATGGCAGTTGAAAGTTACAGCAAAGCTTGGGAAAGTGAATGTTTATTGCCTGACTTGCAGTTATCTGTGCATGGCAAAGCCCATTATGGGTGTGCTTGTACCAGGCTGCTGCCCAAATGGGTGACCTGGCAGAGGACCAGTGGCCATTTTCTACACAATTTTGTTGTTGAAATTGGAAATCTATCTGTTTGTAATGAGATATCACGAAAGGTTTTAGTTGGAAACCTAGCAGGGAATACAAATGAAGGGTGCAAACGACAGGCACATGCAATACCCTTGTCACAAATAGCTTTTACATGCATTATGATGTCCTAAAACCAATTATTTTTGCGATGCCTGTATGAAACATAACTTGTTTCATGTGCAATAATGCTAGCCAAAATTTCCAACAGTCCAAATTTATTACCACTGCAGAGAAGTTTTCGATTTTGCCAGAATTGGTTTGTATGGGCGTTATGGAACAAAATAAATGTAGCTCAAATATGATGAATAAAACTTTCATGGTTTGTATGCAGCGTATAGATCTGAGAAGGGGCTTGACTTCAAAAAGTTTTTAAAATTTTGGGACAGAACTATACAAAGGTTAAGATTCTTCCATGAAATCTGTTAAGGGATCTTAAAAGATCTCTAATCTATTTGACCATCAATTATTATTGTTTCTTACTTTGAAGTTTGAACACCCTTAATATTTTTATGTGTGTCTGGGGGGATGATTTACATGATTGTATACTATACAATCATGTACCTGTTGCAACAATCTTTTATTGGAAATTTAGAAATTCCCTCAACATCAGTAAATCAAGGTCACCCTGTAACTCATTGAGACGGTCTCAAAATGGAAGCATTAGAAGCATGCCTAGCTTGCAGCCAAAGGGTCAATGGAGAAACCCTGCTTTTTGTAGGGGCCCCTTTGCCATTAATGGTAAACCAAAGTGTAAAATCACCATCTGTTAGTACATGATTAATTAAAAGGAAGACATAGTGTGGTATATGGTGGCAATTGTAAATGCACTGGAATATACATTGTGAAGTATTGTGCAAATTTTCATAAATCATATTTAGATACTGGGCATTTTTCTTATTTATGAATTATGTACCGTCACATTTTATGGCTCAATAGAAGTGGGCTGTTGGGTGCACAGGTGTAGATATTTGACTACCTCAGAGATTAGGAGGTATTGACCAATGGGACATGATCTTCAGGCTCTTTCATGCATCATCACCAATGACAATTGACTCTTCCATGAAAAAGTAACTTCAATCATAGAAATATAGATTTTTAGTGGTGAGATGTATGATAACAGAAATGCTCATCATGTACAACAAGTGGATATACTGATACTTATCCCATTTATAGCATAGTTGTTGGCATGGAAATACATGTACTATATATTGACTCAAAACCATTTTGTTTGAAGATTTGTATAGAGGTGATTAATTATACATGCTAGCAGATTTGATAAATCAAAATGTACAGCCAAAACTGCTATAAATGGAGAACTAATAATAATCTCCTTATTTTGTTTTTCAGCATGGGGAGACAGGGCTCCACCTTGCTGCAGGCTATGGACACATGGACATCCTGAAGTTTCTACATGAGCAAGGTGCCAAGATGGACATTAAAGATAAGGTCAGCCTCAGAATGTCTGCCCTATGTTCAGGCCTTTAATCATTGGGAAAATCTTGTAGTTCTATTTGTGGACAGGAAGATCTGAAGAATTAAGACCCATTCAGTCAAGGGATCTTAGCTAGCTGTTGGCATTTATGTGATACTGTATGATGCATTATACGTGGTTAGCAGGTTACAGGAATTGAAATGTTGAATGTGATACCCTGACTTACATACTGGTAATATATTGTCCTGGCTTGAGGGTGCTGTTACGTATAGGTTATAATGGTTCTGTGATTCACACACTTATCTCACTTTATTAGTATTCTGACCCTAACTGTTGTGGCCATTCTGTTGAAGTAACAGATTACAGAATAGGATGTATACAATCCAGCCATGGACTATTTTGTAGGATAATGAATCATTTGGGAGATGTCAAAGGAAGTGCTGAATCCCAAATCAGATTAGCACATACTGCTCCTGGGCAAGAACATGCTGATGTGGTTACAGATTCTGTCAAGAAATGGCTAAATCAGGTAAAGTAAAATTAAAAGCAGGGAGAATTCTCATAGGTGCCTTGTGTAACAAGAAAAAACAATTAAAACATTCCTAGTCAATCATCGTGGATGTTCTTGAAACATCACTACATGTTAACCCACAACAGTGCAGACAAATTCATTCTCCATCCAACTCAACCTTTTGAAGTGTTGTTAGTAACTGCCAACAGCTGCCAAGCAGTTAGGCCCAAAATCCTCTTTGTGGATGTTGCATTCAGCTGTTGTATAGCCCCGAGGCCAAGTTTTCCCCTGTGTGTGTTATTTATAAACCTTGGCACTGCTCCTTGACTACTTTAAGTCCCAATATCATATCTGGAAAGGTCCTTAGGATTGCGACAGGCCAGGGCTGCACAGGAATAATATGGTTGTAAAGTAAGTTTGTTTGCATGAATGTTGTTTATGTTATAAAATTACAAGCAGTAACACTTTCAAATGTAGTTACAAAATCACTGTGTATTGAATCATGAAAATTGTATGGTATTGGACCAACAGAGAGAACTCAGCCCTAAGGCCATCATGTACATATAAGGCCAGGTCTTGTTCAGAGGTCGGCGTGAAATCTTGTATAGGACATCAGAAAGATTTGTAGTGTGGCTTAGCCTGCTTACATGTATTACATCAGAGATGGACAGGCAGGCTGAAAGGAACCTCAGCAGATCACGGGCCTCTCAGATGCATGTTCAAGTCAAGCAGGCTTCTGTCAGGAAGAACCATTATCAGCTTCCTAATGTGAGGACAGACTTTCAGATGTTTTTACTTTCTTGAGGCGGTTCACTGTCAGTGAGGAAACCAGGCTTGGCTGCTGACATGTCATGTACTGTAGAGTTAGATAAAAGGACTAATCATTATTGTAGTCTGTTTTTCCTTTCACATTTATCTATGAAGAAGGCCCATGATTCCTTTGAAGTGATAAAATGCAATCAAAAGATGTGAACTGCCATAATGATTTTGATTGATTATAATATCTTCTTCTCCAATCAACATTCTGATGGCAAGGATGCCCCTAAAGCATCAAAGGGAAATCAGAATCTGCAAAACCCACAAATTGATGGCTAAACTTTTGATTGTAGCAATGGCTATAATTTTCAATAGGTACTTCAAAGATTTGCATTCTGTAAGTTTGATGTAAAGGTTGGCTGAATGATATGTATGAAAAGTTAATAGGTGGAATCTTTTGAGTTTGGCTCTACAGAATCTGAAGGGTGTTGCTATTCCTCCCCAGCATGGTGATAATGCAGTTTACTGGGCAGCCAGGCAGGGGCAGGTGGAGGCCATCAAGTTCCTGAAGGACTTCTGTCCACTGGACATCCAAGACAAGGTAAGGGACACTTCAGCTTTTAGCATTTTGACTAAATTTGTGGTTGCCCCAGAGTGAATAGTTATGTCTGTTACAATATTTTGCTAACACAGTAGTGCAGTATGGATCACTTTTGTTAGGGGGAGCTGTTGTATGAACCTGTACAGGTACATGTACTTTACCTGAATACATGAATAACAGATGTTGTCTTCATGAGAACAACTCTGAAACTTTGCTGAAGGAATGCATTCATTGAAGGCTACAATTTGCCTTCTCAGATCACATATGCCCATTGTCCATACTTTCGCCATGGCCAGCATAAAGTTAAGTTGGAACTTTGGGATAAATTTTGAATACCGGTAATGGTGACATGGGTGGAAAATGACACAGTTGTGGAACATTAGTAATTCTTCTTTGGTTCACAGAATACATATAGTGATATACAAACAGTCTGCATTTAGTCAGTGCAAGCAGAAGTACCAGTACATGTATTTCTGTTATCTGCTTGGATGATCACACTGCCTTGGGACATATTGGCACTGAGTAGGGTGGTATTGATTGTCATTAATGCGCAAGTTCCACTTTTCTGCTTTAGCTGATATACGTCATTTGTGATATTGGTCTTTAGGGATTGGACTTTGTTTTCTTCACTTCTTCACATCCAAGTCCGTTTCATGATTGTATGAGGTATTCTTAAGGAGCTTTACAGGATTTGTTCTTGTGAAGATAGTCTGGCTCTCCTTGGCAGAGAGTCCTGGGCTGCATCATCAGGGACACTGTGGAAAACCAATTATCCATGCAGATTAGCCCACCCCTTGAGTTTGTCAACACCAATAATGTGCCGTGTCAGTAGGCTGGGTGCCTTTAGAGCCTTTTAATTGATCATCTTATCAGGGATCATTTCATCATATCCCTGGAGAACTGAAGGGCAAAATGCAGAGCTTATGTTTCTGGTTTGTTATCAGTGTGGAAGGGTAGTGGTGTCATATGGATAACATGTAAGTATCCATGTCACAAGTAAGTCAAAGTTGTCACAACATTGATTCCATTTACCTTTGATTATTTTGTGTTCCTCATACTATTTAGTTGTCCAAATATTTTGCTTCTCAGTAATATTGCCAAAACAAATATACTACCAGTATAAACTTTAAGGATGCTTAGGCATTTGTTGGATACTGTGTTATATAACATAAGACAATTCGACTGCAATATCCTAGTATTGAATAGACAAATTTAATGATCTTTTCAAAGATGTTGTGCTAGGCTTGTGCTATTGGCTGTAGAGGGCTTGACCCTGGAACTAGTGAGAGTGATGTTTGTTTTGCCTGTGTGCATGTCAATGTCCTTCTCCATATGCGTGATTAAAGTGACAGCAGGTCCTGACTGTGCTCATCTCCATATTTGGCCATGCAAGGTCTTGTCCCTTCCATCTCACAGTATGTTATCACTTGATGGACTCACAACACAACAGGCTTTTCCTATTGGCTTGGGGGTTTTCGGCTTATTGCCAAAACTGGAGGGAAGGCTCAGATCCACTACCAGTAGCCCAGGTTTAGGAAGGAATTAGGTAGGCAGACAGGGGAAGGTTATTGGTGTCAGGCAAACAAGCTGGTCTGTATCTGTCAGATATGAGAGGAACAGATGGCTAGTACTGCAGCCTGAGCTTCCTGTGGAGTCAGGGGATTTTTGTAGGGTATGGTCACTATGGGGGAAAAAGAGAATCCTCAGTTCAGCTGGAAATCTTTTGAGCAAAGGGGAACATTAAGGGAATTTGATTCTAAAGGATTTGTTTTTAAATGCTATGACTTCACAGTTTGGTTTGAAACTGACTACATTCACATGCAGCTGGTTAGAAAACTTGTTTGTTGAAAATTAATGAGGAGTACATGTTAAGACTGCATTCAATCAACAATTTGATTAGTGGGTATTCTTATTTCACAAAGTGGACGTCCAACCCTAACAGGGCCTCTTGTGGCCATGAAGCTAACTTTTTACACATTTATTTATGAACCTCAAGCATGATAATCCCAATAACCTTATTAACATTCCAAAGACCAGAGACTTTCTCTCCTTGACAGTTTGATTGACATCTCCAAATATCAAGTGTTTGCTTTACTTAATTATCCAAGGACAGTGTGTACCCTTCTGGGGGTGGTAACTTCCTGCCTGGTATCCCAGCAGGGCTAGCATCCTGGGTATGAAGAGCATGTAACATTGCTGATTACTTATGACATCACGTTACATGTGGTACCAGGCAGAACATGGGGGAATCTTAGACGCACACACCAGTATTTGCACAGGGTAAGTTGGTGTCCCAACTTTGGGTCTCTTCAAATGTTTTTCTTGGGCTGGGATGTTGCAGGTTCTATTTCGAATCAGTTCTCTAAAGAGTGGGTAGTTTTGCGGGTGGATAGAGGCTGGGGCCTAAGACACTGTGAGAGCTATGGACAGGTGGAGGTTTGAAAGCTGTACATGGGTAAGAATCCACTTAAACTAAGTCAAGATGCATCAAGTTTCATCCTGCCCCACTTTTTACATCCTGATCTTTTGTACAGGAAAACATAGTGCTAGTGTGTCAACCAGTAACTATAGATGTCTTCAAAGTTCTAATGGAGATCGTTTCTTGCTTCGTTCATGATTGTTTTATGAGACATATGATTGTATGTAATTCAGATAAATTATGTCACATATAAGGTTTACTAAATGACTATGGATTTGTCCATTTTTGAGGTTACTTGACTGTTTGTGAATTGCTGTAGTAGGAAGCCAGTGGGTAGATGGGGAATGTGATATTCATACCAGCTGTGTCTCTGTGCAGTGCTGTATTTAGTGTCCATAGGGGTCTATTGTGTGGATGGAATATTTTAGACCCCACTGAAAAAAGACCAGCCAGGATCTGCAGTTCACTGGTGGTGAATGGGAGTTTTGGAGGCACTCTGTGCAGTAAGCTCTTGTCTACAGTTTTGTAAGTTTTTAGACTTATATGTTTGTATTCCTCAGTACAAACATGCATAAAATATAACTTGATTACTTGACTTTATCCTGTTGGAATGAAAATATCATGGATATATATGTTTTGTCGAAAACCAAATGCCTATAATTGCCAACCAGTATCATGCCTGTTGCTCGATATTTCATGTTATAATGTTTAAACCAAAAATAGAAACCTACATGTACATGTCAAGGTCTTAACCTTTTACAAATGACCTATTTTCAGTATCATGATGTCCTGTTATTGTGGTGGCATATACTGTTTCTTACTCTAAGTCTTCTTTTACATTGTCTATCCTTCGTTATGTATACAGTGTGCACCATATTATAACACTTATCTCTTGATCAGAGTTTTCTGTTAGGATTTTTTGGACAGCCATGCTCTGTTGGAGGTTATCAAGATGAAGTAAATTGGTAAAAGGAATGGGGAGGAAGTGTGTAGATTTGTTTGCGCTGATAAGTCCTCACAGGGGATAGGAAGTTTACACTGGATCAGATGTTAATCTTCCTTGCCATCATTTTCCAAGGGAAGGTCTGTAAATACTCTCATGCATTTTTTTATTCTTCCCTTTTGTATGAAAAATTGCAAATTCTGTTTTTCTACCGTTCAGATCCACAAAATTGAAAAAAAAAAAAGATTGTAGGTATTAATAGACTGGGAAATTGAAATACTGGGCACAAGGGGATTAAAGGCCCACCACCCCCATGAGTTGATCCACAGGATTTACACAGAACTAGTCGTCCTGCTACATTTACCTTCAAGGTCATTTGTACAAAAATGCGCAACAATAAACAAACAGAAGGATGTCATGGGAAATGTGTCCAAGTGTACGAAATGTTTCCCTTTCTCCCCTGGCAAGGTCGTCCTTCTGCTCTTCTGCATGTCCTTGTGAATGCCTTTACTGAACACCCACAGCTTAAGCATTCTGCATGACAAAAAAGGTCACTTGTAATTACAGCCCTAAGGTATTATACCGGCCCTACCCATTATACAACAAAGCATGCACTCAGAGCTTTCGTAATGAGAATATGTCAAGTGCCAAAAATATGCCTGCCATGGATGTCAGGACAGTCCTTCACAGGCTTCAGTAAAAAAAATCAATCTAATTATTTATCTATGCATCTATGCTCTACTGGGGTCATTAAGGTGTCATTACAGGTTTAGCAATAAACGAAACTAATCTAATAACTTAAAGGTAATTTGCCCTACCCATACTTTTAGCTGACTTATCTTATGTGTCATGCATGTCGTCACTAATATTGAGGGGGTGTCTTTCAAATGTACTGTATTTATGCTAATTAAGATATTTTGCCTTAAGTAATTTAGCATACATATGTATGGCATGCACATTAAGTATGGAAGTATTTTGTTTTTTACTG